CTCGCCCCGCACCCCGCAGCGGTCACAGCGCGTCCAGTCCCAGAACGTGGTGAACAGCGTGAACTCCTTCTCCTTGTGGTCCTCTTGGACGTGCTGGTCTTTATCCAGGAAAGCCACGGTGATCTTCTTGGTGGGCTGCACGTCCACGTCGTAGCCGTAGAAGAAGAGCCCTTCCTTGGTGCCGCACAGGTAATGGCCAGAGTCCCTCACCTGGGCTCGGAACACGATCAGGCTGAACAGGCGGATGCTGAAGCGCCTCAGGAGGTCGCTGCCCGCGCGCACCTGCTTGGAATCCACGATCACGGTGCCGTTGAAGTCCGTCAGCACCGTGGTTTCGTGGCTGTGCAGGTTCTTCTGGAAGTACCAGACCACAGAGGAGGCCTCCTCGGGTTTGCATTTGCAGGGCAGCTCGAAGGTCATGTCTGCCAGGTAGGCGACGTTCTCAAACACCAGGAAGGCGGGACACGCCGTCTTCTTGAACACATCCCCTTTCTTCTCAATGGCAAAGGCCTGGAGAACATCCAGCAGGGACAGGAGAATGGTGGCTCCCAGCAGCCTCGTCCCCATCGCTGAAGGTGCTCCCTGGCCCAGCAGAACTCACAGAGCCCAGGCAGGGATCTACTGGGAGCATCCTGCCCTGGAGCAGCCCAGCCTCTGTCGCCCTCTCTGAAAGCAGCTCTGGAGCGTTGTCACCCACGTGCCTGGCAACAATGGAGCTGTGCTGGGACCAGCGGAACCCCCAACACCTCATCATGGTTTGAGCTGGGTGGGATCTTGGAGAGGATCTCTAGTGCAGATCAACATCTTCATAGCTGTGCCGTTGGGAAGGTATTGGCTTTTGGGGCAGTGGATTGTGTTTTAATGATTAGGTCAAAGAGAACCTTCAACCATGGGCTGGCCAGTCTGATGAGGGGGAAGGCTTGGAGGGTGGGTTCCAATGTGGCAGTGTTTGTGCCATTGTTTCCTCCTGGGGAGGAAACCAGGCCACCCTGATATTCCTTGGCTCAAGATGAGAATCACAGGGCACAAAGTGCCTGGACACAAAGAGTCACAGCATGGGGAACAAACAAGAACTGGAAATGTGAGTGTGCAGTGGCAGAGCTGTGATCCCATTGCAATGACAGTGGGACA